TACATGGCCCCATCCATCGGCCCCTCAATGCGTGAAGTTGTCCTGTACCCTTAGCAGAGAGACTGCCCCAAAGCGTAATGTTTCCTCCTCCATGCTTGACGGTGTTCTTGGGTTGGTATTCAGCATTTCTCTCCCTCCAAACACAACAACTCCAGTTTATGCCAAAGAGTTGAATTTGGTCTCATCTGACCACACCACCTTCTCCCAAGCCTTCTCTGAATCATTTAGGTGTTCACTGGCAAACTTCAGACGGGCCAGTACATGTGCCTTCCTGAGCACGGGGACCTTGCGGGCACTGCAGGATTTCAATCCATTACGGCACAGTGTGTTCCCAATGGTTTTCTTGGTGACTGTGGTCCTAGCTGCCTTGAGATCATTACAAAGCTCCTCCCGTGTAGTTCTGGGCTGATTCCTCACCCTTCTCATGATCATCCTTGCCCTACGAGGCGAGATCTTGCATGGAGCTCCAGACAGAGGGCGATTGATGGTTATTTAAAATTTCTTCCATTTTCTTATAATTGCACCAACAGTTGTCTCCTTCTCAACAAACTTCTTGCTGATGGTCTTGTAACCCATTCCAGCCTTGTGCAGGTCTACAATCTTGTCCCTGATGTCCTTTGAAAGTTCTTTGGTCTTGCCCATGGTGGTGGAGTGGTTGGAAGGAAGAGCTTGATTCTGTTGACGTGTCTTTTTTACCCATAATGAGCAGTGATTAGGAGTACTTTAGGAGTTGGTTTGTAGGGGATCAAATACTTATTTCCTTCAATCAAATTCAAATTCATTTATAACTTTATACAATGTTTTTTTCTGGCCTTTTTTAAAATATTCTGTCTCTGTTTGTTAAAATAAAGGTACCATAAAAATGATAGACCGCTCACTTCTTTGTAATTGGTCAAACTTACAAAATCAGCAGGGGATCAAATAATTATTTCCTCCACTGTATATGTATATATTTTTTCACTTCTTTCATGTTTTCTTTGAGTTACTGACTTCTCTCTCTATTCAGGGAGTAACCTAGTGTTTCTCTATTTGCTGTCACTTTAACTAAACTTCATCTCAAAGGCAAAAAAAAATACTTCTTACTCCACTGAATTTATCAAAAATCTTTAGTTTGTCTGCTAGTTACTCCGATTCAGATTTAGATTCAGATTAATATTACAAAATATGATCAATACATACATTTTCAAATGTGTCATTGTGGAAATTCACATGGGTATCCATCCATTATCAGTACTGCATTTCCCATTCGGGGTCACTGGGGCTGGAATTGATCCCAGCTGTCATTGGGTGAGAGGCGGGGTTACACCCTGGACTGTTCCCCAGCCAATCACAGAGCTGACATATCGAGACAGACAACCAGACACACTCACATTCACACCTACGGGGAATTTAGAGTGACTAGTTAGCCTAACGAGCATGTCTTTGGACTGTGGGAGGAAGCCGTAGTACCCGGGGAGAACCCACACATGCACGGGGAGAACATGCAGACTCCACACAGAGAGGCTCCTGTCAGACGGGGATTCAAACCAGGACATTGTAATATAGATCTGTGTGTCGTCTGCGTAGTTATGATAACTTATTTAATTGTTTTCTATAATTTGAGCTAGTGGGAGTAATGTAGATGTTAAACAGAAGAGTCCAGAAATAATAATCTTTTATTTTGTTGATGAAACTGGATTCAGTCTCGTATCCCCTTTGGAAAAACAACAACAACTACACACTGTGTTACAACATTTTATTGAAATGATAAAGAAAGCACATTTTGGTTATTCACTTTGGCTCGAACACATTAACAAGATTTGTAGCATCCTCCAGTAAAAGAATAACAAACAACATTTACTTGAGAAAACCTCTTAATTTCTTAACTAACCTTAACCGGGTTACTTACAATATTTAATCAACGCTTAAGGATCTTTCTCTTAATGTTTACAACATTAACAACAACAGCAAGAAGCCACATGACACAATATGTGTATTTTTTTATAATGTAAAGGTATTAAGACATTATTAACATGTTAACTGACTTAAAACTTAAATGCTATACTGTATTTGAGATCATGATGAAAGAACGATTATTTGTGTAAAAGAATACCCTTTTAATATAGTAGGGGAAATGCCTCTGACCTCAGGGGGAATGTAAAATAGTCACAGGAAGGTGTTTATTTTGTCACTAAGTTTGTCCTCGCAGCAAAGATTCACCAAACATGTGTCTCGTGTGAAAGATAACATTCATTTTTGCAGAGTCAGATCAGTTTTAGACACTTAAATTGTAATGATGTTGAAGAATCATTTCAGCAATATTGAGCTGTTATTTTGTGTTCAATCTCTCACAGCTTTATAAACACGATAAAATTCCAACCCTATCTGAAGGATTTCCATTAAATATCTGAACAATGCAGGGCTGTTCTCTGCATCTCTTCTAGCTATTTTTTCAATCATCTCATTCAGTAAAAGGTTATTATCAAGTTGTTCGCCAACTGATGTTAATAATTTAGATAATTTCACCACTTCCTCCCTCTTTTTCCGCCTTTCCTCTTTCAGGATTCTCTGTTTCTCCTCTTCAATCGCCCTCTCTACCTTCTGAAACATCTCAGTGGTGTAATGGTTTCCTGTGTTCTTTTCTGTTATTTTTCTGATCTTGTTGAGCAGCTCAGTGACCTGAGAACTATCAGAGAGGTTGTTATCAAAGACGTGGTACTGGTCGTTACATTTGGCCACAAGCTCCTGCAGGTCTTCGCTTTCCTTCAAGATCTCTTCAATAGGTTGCCCTCTGAGCAGGTCACCATGGGTAAAGAGAACCATGCTGTATTTGTTTGCTTCCTCTCCAAAGATTTGCTGAATCTTCTCCACCGTCTTCTGTATTTCTTCTGTGAATCGTTCCAGTTTGATGACAATCAGAAAGATATGGGGTCCAGGAGAAGCATAAGCCATACACCGGACGATATTTGCACGTGTCGTCACTGCGTCAGTATTGGTGTCAAACAGCCCTGGAGTGTCGATGACAGAAACCTTCTGTCCATCCAGCTCACCATACGCCTTAGCGCAGCCTTCGGTCACAGATTTAAAGGAGAACCTTGATTTGAATTCTTCCTTTCCCAGGATGGTGTTCGCTGTGGCGCTCTTCCCAGCTCCGGTCTTCCCCACCATCACGATCCGGATCTCCTCATTATTGTACATGGTTGGTTCTGATTGGATGAGAGAAAGTAAAAGAACAACATTAAGGACTATATGTGTCCATTTGATTATCTATACATGATCTTATCCAATTATGCAGTTATTTGTGTTTTGTTTTTTTGAACAAATGGATTTCAGATTCAAAATTAAAACGTATCTGATCGCAGTAGACACGAGGTCCCAGCAAAAAAAAGTTTGGGAATGCTATGATATCCTACAAAACACAATTATATCGTACGACACATGAAGATATGGTACGATACAACCAAACTAAATTATACGACGCAACATGATGTGCATCCAGACTTCTTTGACTGGGGTGGCCCAACTGAGAAAGCGACTTATGCCGGAGCGGCATACTAAATGATATGATGCAACATGTGCAGTGGGGGGTCTAGACTTCTTTGACCGGGGTGGCCCATGTGAGTGATCTTCGAGTGTGTCACGATTTGATTGAGAATCTATTTTCTATTCAAAATGATTCTGGATTCATGATTCAAAGTCTATTTTTGAATTAGTACATATACTTCAGGATCTACTCCAGTCATCTGTGAGACTGGCTGAATTTCTTGCTGCTCCATTTGGCGTTCTACAGAGTTAAAGAGCTAGCATTAGCACTTAGCAGGGAGTGACTGATTAGACAAAAAAATAATAATTGATTTTTGGAAGTTATGAATCTATTTAAAATATCAGAAACTAAAAATCTAGATTTTTACATAAATTATTTTTTTTCCCAACCTCTAGTGCATGGGCACACACTAATGAATATCCTTTCCCCCTTTTCTATTTCCACTAATAATGTCTACTTTAAAGGCAGGGTTGGTCATTTTCTAAAACTAGCATAATTTTGAAAGTAGCATTCCCTCAGTGCGCCGTCTGCACCCCTCCCCTCTGTGCTCCCTCTAAAGCCACGCCCCCTCACTTACATGCACAAGCACCATTGCTCCAGAAGCGGACCTCAGCTCATGCTTTGAGTGTGGGCTCGTGCAGTCATGGGGTTGAGAACGAGCAGGGAGACAGGGAGGCGTGATTGGTTCATCAGATTGGTACCTGTGGCAGACATTGGTCAAAATTTGCTGCTTTGCTAAAGTGCTCATGATGGATTAAGCTGGGTCTTTGTAATATAGTCATAGGTAAGGTCTTTTAGCTGCTTTTTGTAAAGCGTCTTGAGATAACACTTGTTATGAATTGGCGCTATACAAATAAAGATTGATTGATTGATTGAAAGTTTTTACAGGCTAACAACTGCTACAGATGACAGATTTTCTCTCTGTTCCTTTTTCAGAGAACCTGAGTTATTAATGTCTGTCAGGACCTAAAGACAATTTACACCAAAATCTTAAAAAGTGTATCTGGAGAAAATGACCAACCCTGCCTTTAACTACTATCATAAAAGTATTTCTAATATTTATAAATCTGTGAATGTTTTTTTAACTTTACAAACTACACCATACTACGAATCCAGTCTAATACAATAAATCTCTATTTTTTTTTAAGATGATAAGTTCTGCTTAAAAATCTTTGAGAGAGCGTCACAGGTTAGTTTTAGACGCTCCATGCTGTTGAATCATACTGCAGATGTTTCCATTAATGTTCCCATTAAATTCATATCAGAGAGAATTGGCTGCGTTAAAGACAAACACAAAATGAGTTTTGGATTTCATTCCCCAGCCTGTTAGAAATTCTGAGGATTTGAGAAATATGTTTTCAATTTTAGCACCTTTAGAACAGTTTAATATTTGTGCATTATGAATAATTTAATGGTCCCTCTATAAAAATTAACTTAGATACAAGGTGTATGCTACTTTATAAATTAAATGACTTACCTTTACTGACAGCCATATTTGAGTGTTGGAGAGAGTAGCTGATGTGTTTCTAAGCTGAAGAAGAAAAGTTTTTAGTCTGTCTGTGGAAACACTTCCTTATAACTGCACGGAGCCTCACCCTGTTCACCCCTTCCAGCAGCAACAAAATTGCTACTTTTTCTGAAATGGACAAAGTCCAAGTGAAATAAAACTGCCTTTATAGCCCTGACCTAACTGTGTCATAAACCAATGTTCAGACTGAGTTATGTTTCTCTCTTTTCAATATTATATATATACAGTGAAGGAAATAATTATTTGATCCCCTGCTGATTTTGTAAGTTTGCCAGATTTCAAAGAAGTGAGAGGTCTATAATTTTTATGGTACCTTTATTTTAACAAACAGAGACAGAATATATTTTAAAAAGTCCAGAAAAAAAAATTACATAAAGTTATAAATTAATTTGCATTTGATCGAAGGAAATAAGTATTTGATCCCCATGCAGAACATGACTTAGTACTTGGTAGAGTGACCCTTGTTGGCAAGCACAGAAGTCAGACGATTGTTGTAGTTGGTCACCAGGTTTGTACACATCTCAGGAGGGATTTTGGTCCTCTCCTTTTGCAGATCTTCTCCAAATTCTGAAGGTTTCGAGGCTGTCACTTTGGAACTCGAACTTTCAGCTCCCTCCACAAATTTTTTAAAGGATAAAGGTCTGGAGACTGGGTAGGCCACTCCATGACCTTAATGTGCTTCTTCTTGAGCCACTGCTTTGTTGCCTTGGCCGTATGTTTCGGGTTGTTGTCATGCTGGAAGACCCATCCACGACCCGTCCTCAGTGCTCTGGCTGAGGAAAGGAGGTTCTTGTCCAAGATCTGACGGTACATGGCCCCATCCATCGGCCCCTCAATGCGTGAAGTTGTCCTGTACCCTTAGCAGAGAGACAGCCCCAAAGCATAATGTTTCCTCCTCCATGCTTGACGGTGTTCTTGGGTTGGTATTCAGCATTTCTCTCCCTCCAAACACAACAACTCCAGTTTATGCCAAAGAGTTGAATTTGGTCTCATCTGACCACACCACCTTCTCCCAAGCCTTCTCTGAATCATTTAGGTGTTCACTGGCAAACTTCAGACGGGCCAGTACATGTGCCTTCCTGAGCACGGGGACCTTGCGGGCACTGCAGGATTTCAATCCATTACGGCACAGTGTGTTCCCAATGGTTTTCTTGGTGACTGTGGTCCTAGCTGCCTTGAGATCATTACAAAGCTCCTCCCGTGTAGTTCTGGTCTGATTCCTCACCCTTCTCATGATCATCCTTGCCCTACGAGGCGAGATCTTGCATGGAGCTCCAGACAGAGGGCGATTGATGGTTATTTTAAATTTCTTCCATTTTCTTATAATTGCACCAACAGTTGTCTCCTTCTCAACAAACTTCTTGCTGATGGTCTTGTAACCCATTCCAGCCTTGTGCAGTCTACAATCTTGTCCCTGATGTCCTTTGAAAGTTCTTTGGTCTTGCCCATGGTGGTGGAGTGGTTGGAAGGAAGAGCTTGATTCTGTTGACGTGTCTTTTTTACCCATAATGAGCAGTGATTAGGAGTACTTTAGGAGTTGGTTTGTAGGGGATCAAATACTTATTTCCTTCAATCAAATTCAAATTCATTTATAACTTTATACAATGTTTTTTTCTGGCCTTTTTTAAAATATTCTGTCTCTGTTTGTTAAAATAAAGGTACCATAAAAATGATAGACCGCTCACTTCTTTGTAATTGGTCAAACTTACAAAATCAGCAGGGGATCAAATAATTATTTCCTCCAATGTATATGTATATATTTTTTCACTTCTTTCATGTTTTCTTTGAGTTACTGACTTCTCTCTCTATTCAGGGAGTAACCTAGTGTTTCTCTATTTGCTGTCACTTTAACTAAACTTCATCTCAAAGGCAAAAAAAAATACTTCTTACTCCACTGAATTTATCAAAAATCTTTAGTTTGTCTGCTAGTTACTCCGATTCAGATTTAGATTCAGATTAATATTACAAAATATGATCAATACATACATTTTCAAATGTGTCATTGTGGGAATTCACATGGGTATCCATCCATTATCAGTAATGCATTTCCCATTCGGGGTCACTGGGGCTGGAATCGATCCCAGCTGTCATTGGGTGAGAGGCGGGGTTACACCCTGGACTGTTCCCCAGCCAATCACAGAGCTGACATATCGAGACAGACAACCAGACACACTCACATTCACACCTACGGGGAATTTAGAGTTACCAGTTAGCCTAACGAGCATGTCTTTGGACTGTGGGAGGAAGCCGTAGTACCCGGGGAGAACCCACACATGCACGGGGAGAACATGCAGACTCCACACAGAGAGGCTCCTGTCAGACGGGGATTCAAACCAGGACATTGTAATATAGATCTGTGTGTCGTCTGCGTAGTTATGATAACTTATTTAATTGTTTTCTATAATTTGAGCTAGTGGGAGTAATGTAGATGTTAAACAGAAGAGTCCAGAAATAATAATCTTTTATTTTGTTGATGAAACTGGATTCAGTCTCGTATCCCCTTTGGAAAAACAACAACAACTACACACTGAGTTACAACATTTTATTGAAATGATAAAGAAAGCACATTTTGGTTATTCACTTTGGCTCGAACACATTAACAAGATTTGTAGCATCCTCCAGTAAAAGAATAACAAACAACATTTACTTGAGAAAACCTCTTAATTTCTTAACTAACCTTAACCGGGTTACTTACAATATTTAATCAACGCTTAAGGATCTTTCTCTTAATGTTTACAACATTAACAACAGCAAGAAGCCACATGACACAATATGTGTATTTTTTTTATAATGTAAAGGTATTAAGACATTATTAACATGTTAACTGACTTAAAACTTAAATGCTATACTGTATTTGAGATCATGATGAAAGAACGATTATTTGTGTAAAAGAATACCCTTTTAATATAGTAGGGGAAATGCCTCTGACCTCAGGGGGAATGTAAAATAGTCACAGGAAGATGTTTATTTTGTCACCAAGTTTGTCCTCGCAGCAAGGATTCACCAAACATGTGTCTCGTGTGAAAGATAACATTCATTTTTGCAGAGTCAGATCAGTTTTAGACACTTAAATTGTAATGATGTTGAAGAATCATTTCAGCAATATTGAGCTGTTATTTTGTGTTCAATCTCTCACACCTTTATAAACACGATAAAATTCCAACCCTATCTGAAGGATTTCCATTAAATATCTGAACAATGCAGGGCTGTTCTCTGCATCTCTTCTAGCTATTTTTTCAATCATCTCATTCAGTAAAAGGTCCTTATCAAGTTGTTTGCCAATTGATGTTATTAATTTAGATAAATTCTCCAGTTTCTCCCTCTTTTTCCGCATTTCCTCTTTCAGGATTCTCTGTTTCTCCTCTTCAATCGCCCTCTCTACCTTCTGAAACATCTCAGTGGTGTAATGGTTTCCTGTGTTCTTTTCTGTTATTTTTCTGATCTTGTTGAGCAGCTCAGTGACCTGAGAACTATCAGAGAGGTTGTTATCAAAGACGTGGTACTGGTCGTTACATTTGGCCACAAGCTCCTGCAGGTCTTCGCTTTCCTTCAAGATCTCTTCGATAGGTTGCCCTCTGAGCAGGTCACCATGGGTAAAGAGAACCATGCTGTATTTGTTTGCTTCCTCTCCAAAGATTTGCTGAATCTTCTCCACCGTCTTCTGTATTTCTTCTGTGAATCGTTCCAGTTTGATGACAATCAGAAAGATATGTGGTCCAGGAGAAGCATAAGCCATACACCGGACGATATTTGCACGTGTCGTCACTGCGTCAGTATTGGTGTCAAACAGACCTGGAGTGTCGATGACAGAAACCTTCTGTCCATCCAGCTCACCATACGCCTTAGCGCAGCCTTCAGTCACAGATTTAAAGGAGAACCTTGATTTGAATTCTTCCTTTCCCAGGATGGTGTTCGCTGTGGCGCTCTTCCCAGCTCCGGTCTTCCCCACCATCACGATCCGGATCTCCTCATTATTGTACATGGTTGGTTCTGATTGGATGAGAGAAAATAAAGGAACAACATTAAGGACTATATGTGTCCATTTGATTATCTATACCTGATCTTATCCAATTATGCAGTTATTTGTGTTTTGTTTTTTTGAACAAATGGATTTCAGATTCAAAATTAAAACGTATCTGATCGCAGTAGACACGAGGTCCCAGCAAAAAAAAGTTTGGGAATGCTATGATATCCTACAAAACACAATTATATCGTACGACACATGAAGATATGGTACGATGCAACCAAACTAAATTATACGACGCAACATGATGTGCATCCAGACTTCTTTGACTGGGGTGGCCCAACTGAGAAAGCGACTTATGCCGGAGCGGCCCAAAAGTGGAAACGTTTTCAAACAATTCTGACTTTGTGACTGATAAACTGTGAAACTGTGTCTCTACACTGCAATAAACATGTGTCTTACACATCCAGGAGTAAGGCTGCTTCATGCTGGCACTACTCTTTCAAATTCTGTCTTTTAATCACAACAATAAAACATCCCTGAAACATGGGAAAGATTCAGAAACATCTCAACCTACTACCAAAGCATGACCTTTTCTTACTTCTACCTTATCAGGGCATATTAAGCAAAGCATATCAAGATCATAATTCATGTTCACAACTTCCTAACTTTCAGCGTCTGTGCTCTCCTGCTCTCGGCTAATAAATGAACCAGTGGGAATTAATATTGTCTTCTTATTCACACTCAAGCATTGGATGCAACAAAGACAATTCAACAACTTCCTCTCTTTCTCCCAATAAGCAGTAATTAGGAGGGTATTTAGGAAACCGCCTAGTTACAAGTTACACCTACACACTACGAATCCAGTCTAATACAATAAATCCCTCTTTTTTTTAAGATGATAAGTTCTGGTTAAAATTCTTTGAGAGAGCGTCACAGGTTAGTTTTAGACGCTCCATGCTGTTGAATCATACTGCAGATGTTTCCATTAATGTTCCCATTAAATTCATATCAGAGAGGATTGACTGCGTTAAAGACAAACACAAACTGAGTTTTGGATTTCATCCCCCAGCCTGTTAGAAATTCTGAGGATTTAAGAAATATGTTTTTCCATTGTAGCCCCTTTAGAACGGTTTAATAT